GAAAACTTGCTTTGCCTTGAGAGGGAAAAGCAAGCAAAACCGTATTTAAGCCTGTTATAGTATGTGTGTGTGTCTGTGGTAGCATCTTTCTGTATCCTTCATCATTTGCAGCTCCGTTTGTTCCTGGTGCTGATGATGAAGAGGCACTACAGCTGCAATGTGAACTCTGAGTAAAAAAAGGTCGAAAAAATATATCCCCTTCCTTTTTAAAATGCAAAAACAACTGCCTGGGGATGCCCTTTAGTTTTTCCAGTGGAGAGGCAAAAAGTTAATGGATTGTTAGCTTGCGGTTTCCTTGGTATCTGCAATTAAAACGCGAGAATACGGTGCTCCGTCTTCATGGAGGATCCTTATATCCTCTTGTGCTTCGTTTGCAGTTAATGAAAATGTTATGAGTGTTTGTTACTCTGCTTCCACTAAATATTTCCCATAGGGTAGCATCTTCAAAATGTGTACAGGCATCTTACCATGCGAGTGAACGTATTTACCGAAAAGTTTCAGTTACTGGCTGGCTACTTCTCGCTCCTTCCGAAAATCGCCAAACTTTTTGCTACGCGAGATTTGGCCTGCTTGATTTCAGCCTTTTGAAACTCTTTCACGTACTCTCGTCCTTTGCAGTCCTTCTTACAATGTACGAATTACAAACATTATGAAATAATGATATCACTTCAGAGAGTAGGTGGTAGAGGAATTATGAAGCTCATGTACTTACATATGGAGAAAGCCGCACAAATATTTTGAGACCTCATCTTAATATATACATATTAAGTTAAGCGCCTTGAATATTGGGAAAATCTGAATTGTTCTGGGCTTTATTACTAAGAGTACACCCCACTTTATTAATAACTTAAGCCATAATTTTTTGAACTGTCAGGTTGCTTTAATAACGTATTTAAATTTATGAGCTTGTCATATTTCATTAAAAAAATCGATAGCCTACATTTAAAGTATCTCCAAGAAGAAAAAAAAAAGTGCTGTTAACAATGACCAAAGAACAAAGCAGGAAAAACAATAATTAAGGGACCAAAATGGTTAACAACCCCCAATTCTAACAGTGAAGTTCTTGGATGATGTGGTGCATGTACGAGTGTGGTCTTTTTTTACGTTTGATCAAAGGGAAAGAATGTAAAGATACAACTCCAGTCAAAAAATCAGCTTCAAATGTTAGAAAATATCCACGGACTTGCATCTGAAGAAAGTTAGGCAACTGTTTTACGACTTTACACACGCTAAATTCAACTACACAGCGGTTCTTCCATTTTACATTCGTATAAATCAATTTCGCAGTTCCAATTACATATAATGTATGAATGGCAAATTTTTCGAGTAAACAAAGTCACGTGCTGTTCAGTCAACATGTGAGCTTGTCCTTCGCCCTTCATTACGAAAATGCCCGAAGCACTCCTCTTTTCAGAATGTCACTGAGCTTCGTCCTTGTCGGTTTCGATTCCTTGGCCATTCAGGTCAGAAAAGGATTTTGGGGTCTCTGGTCACGACAGACGCATATGCTAATTAGGCAATTAATATTTGTGGGCGAGACAACTTAATTTATTTACCAAGAAAGCATATATTCTGCAATGAAATGTGATATTGGTCTTTGGTCCTTTTTCACTTCCATTTGGGTTCGAACGTGAGTGTGTGCGTCATGCGGTAAGACAATAAACTTATCACATGTTACCCATTGCTTGGGGCTAAAAACTTTTGCAGTCAGTTTGATTTGCGGTCGTCCTGGCTTTGTCCTGTGTACTGTGTCCCCACTCCTGTGCCTGCCTGTCAGGACACTGATATGCGACTCAGCCTCTAGTTCTATATCGCATGTTATTAAAGTATTTCATCAACTTTCGATGCACAGTCAGCAATAATATTTTCTTAGACACATTCTCGACTTCAAATATAGGAGGGGAGAAAGAAGTTCGGGTCTGCTTTGCGGTCACAGCCGGTTGGCTTAGTAGAGCGTGTAGTGTAGGACTCCTTCAAGACGCAAGAGAACTGCATATAGAAACTCGAGCTTTTGTAACTCGGGGCGACATTTGTCAGACGCCAGCTAAAGTAAAATGAGTTGAGTTGGGCTGCGGTTTTCTGACAGATTTGATTAAGTTTGTTTTCCTCAATGGGACAGCCAAGTGGACAGACGGGCAAAAAATATTTTCTATTAGTTTTAAGTGAATTTGCAGAAACATGTATTCGGTGTTCTAAAATACAACTGCTCGTGTTAGAGTAAATAATGAAATTTCTAGATTCATATTTGCAATTGTGTCGACTCTTATTTCCACACTGATTCGCAAAATAATTTAAAAATTTGAGGTTGTATTCTATTGGTTATCATAACTTAAACGCGCTTTCTCAATAAAGTATTTTTTTTTCATTTTTGCAGATATTTTATCTAAATGAATTTACGTACTTCAAGTATGGGGTCCTCATTTATATTGCATTTTTAACTACCCGGCTTAAATACATTTTCCCCAGAAGTTTGTAATAATCAAAAACAAAAACTAAAAACATAGACCGTGCCCCAATTCGTCTCCCCCTTGAGTATGTTTGGGCTGACGTTTCGGTGACTTTTCCACGGCGCTTCAACGTCTAATGTTTGGTTGCAGGAAAAAGGTATTTATGAACAAACCGGTTAATCCCGGCTAATTCTCATTGTCTAGTTGATAGGTTTCCAAACATAATGGCACGTGTGACAAGGAAAACAAACAAACTATTCAGAGCTGACCCCTACTGCTTGGGCTGACCACGGCTACAAATTGCGACAATGGGGGTATATTTAAATGATATTGTAAGTGCTGACCAATTTATGCTTGAGCGTTAATCTTTTTAAATGGTACGCAACAATTAGATTGACCTGAGGTCATTTAATAACCGTCTCAATCCGTACTGCGACAGGAAACCAGTTTTGGATAATACACTCGTAAGCACGCCCTTGCCTAGCACAAAAATCAACCACCAAGGCGAGGACGTCACTCGAAAATTGCTACTGGACAGGGGTCAGGGGTGATGCCAATTGGTTGCCTGACATTTTGAGTTGCGGTTTGTGCTTATACTTTACAATTTGTTGAGGGGCAAATGCAGCACTTGACATGTGCATGAGCCCTGAGCGGTTTGGTTGAATTTTTAGGGTGCTGCATCCTGATTCTCATGCAAGACTGGGAGGCTCACTTGTTTAAAATATATTATTTATAGATAACAATTTTATGCTAGTTTTATTGTAAACTCATTAAAATATATTCGATTAGGCGCACCCCTCTACCTACCTTTACTTCACTAGCACCCCAAGGACACCAACACTTCTGTCTGTGCATCCTTGCGCTTGATTACAAAGATTACAAAGCCCCACAAAAACACCTCCTTACTCCTGCCATCTGTAACAAAGCGGCTTTTGTGCCTTTTGGTTTGCTGCCAAAGCAACAATAGCAAAACAAGAATTACAGACATATGTAAGTATGCATGTATATTTGAAAGTAAAAAAAATGTATGTAGAATTGTTGGTTTTTATTTTTCCATGAACACTCCTATGATTTCAATGCTAGTCGGTAGTGTGGAACTCCAAAGAACTTTAGATTATTAAAAATGTTGCAACGGCAGGACGACAGCCTCGGATGCTCCTGGAAAATGTTGACATATCATAAATTAAAGTGACATGTCGCTTCAATTATTTTAGGTTTTTATTCCTGGCATTTCGTGAATGCCCAAGCTATAAAAATCTATCGTTCAGAAGTCTTTTTCGCGTTATCTATATGTATTTAGATTCGAGGTGGTCATGGGCGTCGCCGAAAAACGACAGGCCGTCTAAATCAATTGAATTTTATCCTAAGCAAAACCGACTCGAAAGAACACGTGAGGTTTCGCAAGATAAAAAATAGCAGATTTAAGTCATAACTAATCATAATGTTTTATTAAAGCTTACTCTGAAACGCAGTAAAATACATTAAAAGTCCAAACCCGATCCTTTTTCCGAAACCTTGAAAAATTACCCCTTTTCATTTGAACGTAAGCCAAAACCGCTTTTGGGGGAGCATTGAAATCTAATATTTAAGTTTAAATGTAATAAAAGTGTTCAAATAATTGAATTTTTCGTGCTGTACAGTGGTGTTTGTATCACAGTGGTATAACGCATCGATATGATCTTATATTTTCAAACAATTATTTCATTATGGCTAATGTCGCCCTCTAGCGGTAGTCCATCGCAGCTTTGCGTTTTGCAGTTTTATGCCGCATCGCCAAATTTATTCCGTTTAGCTTCCATAAAAGCAGCGCTAGGTGCCATGTATCTGAGCTGTTCCAGTATATTTGTGGTTGTGTAGTTGTGGTTGTGTAGTTTTAATTAAGTTATTTTGGTTGAGTTGTTCAATTTAATTTTTCATGTTGGACCGTGGCATTTGTATCACAGTGGTATAACGAATTAATGGTAATTGATCGTATACTTTCAAACAATTATTTCATTAAGGACAAATGTCTCATTCTTGCGGTAGTTCTTCGAAGCTTTGGTTTTTGCCAAATTTATACCGTCAAGCTTACCTAGCAACGCTAGGTGTCGTCATGTAGTTCAGCTGTAGATGTCATGTAAAAGTTTAAATATTTATTTACATTTTCAAATAATGCAAACAGATGCCAAATGTTGGAATTTAACAAATAAAACAATTTAAAAATAAGTCCATAAGGTCTTTTAATTGAATTTGATTTGTCACATGTAAATATAACTACACAGCGATGCGATAATTCACTGCACGAAGAGGCACAAGGGGAATGTTGGCTAAGCGTAGGCCCGGCAATTTCCAGTGCACAGCAAAAATCTTCTGCTTAATGGTGCTAAAGCCACACTGCAGGCATACAAAAAGCTTGGCAGTAAGCTTGCAGGCCAACTCGTGACGTTTGGTACCGGGGGTCCTGTGCAACTCGAACATCCTGCACATTCGATTTTGGCGAAATCGACCTGCCCCAGTAGGCGTTTTAGCATCCAATACTGCCTTAATCTCTCCATTCAACAGTTAGCTCAAGAATTTAACAAGCAACATTTTTATTTGTAGTCTCCTCTTCTGGAGAAAGGGCAGCAGGAAGGCCATATGTTCGGCCAGGTAGACTAGGCCAGGTAATAGAGGCGTCCTAGTTTATTTTATTAAGCAATTCATGAAGGTTTTCTCGACGTTTTTATGTATGTGACACATTGGCTTTCGTTTAGGTGTGACTTAAGAAGGCAAATAAAAGAGCTGAAACCCCCAATGATAGAGGCAACTGATGAGCCATTGCGCCATTGCAGCCGAGATTATTTAAGCTGATAATATACTGGGCTTCGTCTGGCGTTTGGCATTCTGCATCTGTACACGAGACCTCTCCAAATTTTTGAGCCTGCACGGAGAAAAATAAAGGGGGACAAGGCTCAAAGTCATAACCAGAGCAGGCATCAGTCAGATCATAACTATATGAACCCAATGCCGTTGACTGGCAGCTCTCATCATCCCTTAGGGGAGCGCTTAGATTTCGGAAAGGCAATGCAAGACTTCGGGATGTGCATACCGTAAAAGTTATTGGACTTACGGGCGAAACTTTTAGGTAGCGCATGCTCTGCCTGACCGGCATGTAGAGCGAATCCAGTCGATAGAAATTAATACTCCCCAAGCGCTCGAATTGTTTGAGAGAGTTCATACCAAACTCACTTATGGCTCCATTGGAGTAGCAACGTGGATTGGAAAGGCGTCTAGGAACTGGTGGAAATGTAAGGCTTTGGTGAAATCCTTCAATGTGAAGTCAAGAGATCTTACCCTGCCGAATGCGTGTAATGACAGGATCACCACACTCCTCAGGTGGCTTCTCAGTGTTCAGAACAAACAAATCTTTACTGGGGTCTCTAACAAAGTCGTGAAACCTCACTAAAGCACCACCACCATAGTAAAGGAAATGCAAGTTTGGAAGACTCTTCCCAAGGCGAACTATATAATTCTGGCAGTAGTCATAGTCATGCTCATTTACGAAGGATGTTGGGCTTGGGACTAGCAGAGCAATTAGGGAACGACCGCCAAGATTGTCGGCGACTCGGTCCTCTCCAAGTAATTCCTCCACTCTGGTGCTTAACGTATTCAGAATCAGCGGGAGATTGAAGCCAGTCGGATCTATGAGACCAATGGTAAATCACACGTTTCTAAACTAAATGTATGCGAGAACTTACGCCAGTAGTGTGATGTTGAGTTCCATTCCTCATACACATTGATAATGTAGTCCGTGGTATTAACAAGAACCGAGGCATCGGAAGCTGCAAAAACTGTTACCTTGCTGGCATAGGGGTGTATGTTTGCTCCCTGCAGTACGTACCTACAATGATTTATTCAGTTATAAATGAATAAATATAAATAAATATCACAGCAAGCCAAAACTTACGCTACGTAGTCCACCACCCAATTGTAGGGCCAATACGTATCGACGAACACATAGATATTCGCTATTACTGTTGTCATATTGGAAACATCAGACCCTTGCTGAAACGGAAAACTGTCCATTATCGCTGAAAATGAAACAAAGAACAAAAGCAATTAGATGCACTTCCTTTAATGGGCTTTACTACCGGGAACAACTGTAGAAATGAAAATGGTTTGCATAGTTCTAGCTGGGGAATTTATTCTACTTCACTGGAACATACAACTAATAATTAAAAAAATATAGGATTAGTATAAAACAATACGATAATTAACCCCACGGTTAGGGACGGGAATGTAAATTTTGAACTCTGCCACTGTACCACTAATACAACTACGTCGGCAACTATTTCAATAGCTTTTGCAAAATCAATGCGATGATGATTGTCAAAAGACTGCCTGCGAGTCCCGAGACGCTGCTGTAGCAGCCCATATTGGTCATTGCCACAATGTAACGCCATTGATCAGGTGTCTGGCATGCTTCCTGTGTGCAAGATGTGGTGTTGGTGGTGGCCTGGACTGACAAAAACAGATCAGGACACTGTGTGATGGTGTAGTAGCCGTTACAAGCGCTGGAAAGGTCATATGAAAAGCTGTTGCCGGAAATCTGAGTGCAGCTCTGATCTATGGTGTTTGGGGTGGTCGAGCTTGTCGTTGAGTTCTGCTGTGGCCACTGATAGCTGCGTGAAGTACAGATAGTGTAGCTCCCACCATTCTGAGTCTGAATAGTCAGGAGGCGGTTGGAGCCAGTGCCGAAGAAATAGTTGGCTGACACCCGATAGAAGTTGACCATGCCAGGGCCAACATACTGGGCCGTTTGATCAGTGCCCCAGCTACTTGTGATCCAGGTTGATCCGCAGCGTGGATTGATGATGCGACGAGGTACTGTAAAAACAAACATTATTGCGACAAGTCAATCGCTACGAAACAAGGTTTTTACTTTTAGCAATGCGCTTCGCAACTGGTCCTGCTGAACTGGCCACTGTACTACCCAAGGTTAGTGAGAACAAATCCTGCGTGGGATCGCGTACAAAGCTTGCAAAACGTTGAATGCTCCCACCACCATAATATATGAAACGCAGATCGGGAATCTGCTCTTGAATGTACTGAATTTCCGAGGTAGCGTAAGATGAGTCACCATCGTTAATGGTTTGCTGATTTGGTATGATCAGAGCCACCAAAGAATGACCGCTCAGACTTGAATTTGTCTGCTCCGCGTTCATAAGGTTCTGGGTAATGTTCTGAATCGTACGTAGCACATTAGGTAGGTTTAGACCCTGGGCATCTGTAGAAGGAACCAAATAATTTTAGAATTCTTAGTCCAAATACCATGCCAGTAATAACCTACATGTCGCCTGTGTTGTCACATTCCACTGTTGGGAGACATCTGTGATGTAGTGTGTGGTGTTTACAATCACTAACCCATCCTGAGCCGACAATAAAGTAACTGTGCTAGCATAGGGATGGATATTAAGCTGTTGCATAATATAGCTGAAAGAGACCATCCAATAACAATAACAAGTTGATAGAGCAATGGAAATTCAACTTACAACACATAGTCAACAATGGAGCTGTACTGCCAAGAGGTATCCAGAAAAATATATAAATTGGTCATTGGAGTAATGACATCCGTCAAGTCCAGACTGCTGGTCGCCGTGCAGGAAACATCATTCAAGGATTGCGCTGATTCAATGAGAAAGAAAAGGGGTAGTCCAAAAGGACAGTAACGCAATGCAGTGCATGCATTCTATTAATCTCGCAATAATCCATTGGTTATTTTTAATGATAAAATGTATATGAAAGACAGTGTGGTTCCGCGATAGTATTAAAAGATCAAGATTACTTACGCACATACGTCACCAGGGAAAGGGCGGCGGTTGAAGCAAATTGAGTGATTGCAAGCGGCTGGAGGGTGACTCGTAACTGCATTTCCCTATCCAGAACCTGTGCGAAGGCACTTGTCTGCTCTGTCATTTCTGTAGATGGTGCCACATTAGGAAACTGGCTTTGCCGACTGCAGGCGTTGACTCCAGAGCTTAAAACCCCATTTGTGGAGTAGTACATTCGGAGTAGCTGGGACAATTTTAAACTAGACGCTTGAGTTCTCCAGTTTGCCACATTTTTGGCAAGAATCAAGCCATCAAGGCCTCCGCGAATCTCGGCATCAGTAGCTTCGAGATTGGTGCGCTGCGACAAGAAATACCAATGCGGCAGAACCGTGTCGTTCCAGCCGCCAGTGGCGCCGACAGAAGCTGCATTGTTGGTAGACACCGGCACCTGGACAAGTGTCACTTCGGCCAAATCTCCGGCCAGAGTAGCTGCCCAACGATTGTCAATGCTGTTACTTGTTTGGGACTGACTTCTTCCTCGCCCACGTCGTTGGCTGGCCAGGGCCAACAATGTGTTTAGCTGTACTGTCTGCTGTTGAACGCCCGCCGCTATTCCAGCTATTACGGTGCCTGCGGAAACGGTTCCCCAGGGGGTACGAACAAGACCATCTTCAATGGGACACTGGCTGGTGCCTTCCGAACCCGAATAAGCCCAGTCGGACTCGTAGTCCATTTCTCCAAGCTGCACATATTTTGAATCGGGAATGGCGGAACGTCCCCGCTTTGGACGAGTGTCTCCACTCAACAACTCAACATCGCCAATAAAATTGTTCTCATCGTCGGCCTTCGCTGACCGCGGCAGTCGGTGCGCCCGATACTGGGAGAGTTGATTACATACGCTATTCTCATCGCCGCGAACCCGCGTGTCAAAGGTGCTAGAGAGCATAAAGTGAAGAGAGCATCGTTCCACACTGGTTAGTGAGTTGTTGGGGAAACTGTTGGCATTGCCGGGGATGAGGCGCGAAAGCAAAATGCGAAACTTGGGAAACTGGAAGCCAGTAGGACTGTATGGTATTACACCATCCACGGCAGTCACACCGGGGGCCTTCTTAATGCCGTCTTGACGAAATCGATGGAGCAAGGACACTGCCACAGTTCTAATGTCTGCCTGTACGCCTGACGTGGGGTAGCTGTTTTCTACCTTTTCGATCAGCGAAATGAGCGTATCCATATTGGCTGGCAGTCGATTGTCTCGATTCATGAAATACGATGTATTGTAGCACTCCACGAGTGACGGTGGTATCTGCAACATGGCATTTTCCTGTGCCTGCACAACCCCCATTAAGAGGGTCAGAACTAGGCAGAGGACTGCTGCCATGAAATTTTTGAGCATCATGGTGTGTGTATTTCGTTTTCGTTAGGAAACCTAGAACAAATTTACCTCAATTAAGCTCTTGATTGGTTTTACAATTACTTGTATGTATGTATGTATTTAAATGTTTATATGCATTGTTTTAAGTAAGTCGAACCGGTTAAACGTTTGCCTTCTTAAGTTAACCCTGACCCAAAAACTGAAACTGAAATCCAGTCCGAAATTCTGATATCGTTACCCTGCCAGAGGCTCATTAGTTTTGTAATTTGGAAGTATTTTAGACATTCCTCGAATTCCGTATCGCTGAAGCCTTATCAGCAAACAGTCTAAGCTTTTAGGTGTCTCAATGTTTACTTATTGTAAAAGTTACTAATCGGTTGATACATGACTAATAGTTGGGTATTTGTGAAATGTATTTGTGTAGATAGAACGTTTGCTATCTGCTGGTATACTGAGCTTTCCATAAATACATATCCTCGAGATTATTGAAGGGAAGGTGACGTCATGTCCCGATGTGATATCTACCCAAAAATACAACACTGTAGACGAGAATGAGTCAAGTGCAGATCATATATATGTACATATGTACATTCGTATGTAAGTACAGTGGGGAGCAATGATGAGACATGTTCACTATAACTGACTTTCGTCGCCCATAACTTAAGACATTTCTCAAAACAATCGAAGCAGGTTTAATGAATTTATTAAATAGTGCCCATGTTGTACCTGAGACTAAAGAAACAATAACTAGAAATTGTATATTTTATTGTGTAGCTTACTGAAAATGGCTATAAGATATCTAAAAATGCTGAAAAACTTGGCATTAGCCAATCGGTGGTGATCATAGTGGAAAATATGCGAAATTTTGTCCCGAAACTGCAAGTCCAATGTACGAAAAGTGCAAAATTGAGTACATGCGAGTCGTTTTGGCTTGCGAGCTGTTTTCATTGCCAGTTTGCTAAGAATACAGTTACACGAAAAAAATTGGTGTGCTTTCCTTTATTCGTTTAGAAGTTTTGGGCGACGAAAGTCAGTTATTGTGAACATTTACTCATCATTGTTCCCCACTGTATGTACATAAGTATGTACTATATACGAGATCCAAAACGAATTTATGTACTCTTTTCCTTTGCATTGCTGCCTCATATTTATTGCCATTGCCATTCAACAGATATTACTGCGATACGGGAAAACTATGCATACACAGGAAAATGAGTCAGGTCCCGCGCCCCAATTTACGAACTCACTACATATACGCGAACACACTAGAATTTACGCCACTGTGATTAGATAACAAACTTGTAGCAACTCTCAACTTTTAGTTTTCGAGGTAGTGTTAGCAATTTTTTGTAGCTGATGGTTTAATCCTTTATTTTCTCATACACCCTAACACAGTTCACGCTTTTATTAAATATTTCCTTTTTTTTTGGTTCTCACTATTTCGAGCTTTACATTTTATCTCCCGAGCGCTTTTCAGCATTACCTTGTTCCACCTGTTGATCTGTTCGGACTGTAGTTAAATTTTTGAGGAAGTTATAGCCTTGCCCATGTGCCAACTGTGGTAATCTTTGGGGCGAAGCTTATCAGTTGTGGTTATCTACAAATACTAATATTAACGATAAGATATGGGCCGTTTGGAACTGGGTGAATATTTTGGAGCAAAAGGTATTTTTTCAGATTTTTCAAATAATGATTTATTTTTTCACTTTTCAAATTTGAAGAATTGCGCGCCGTATCGACAAAGTCGGACCCGTCACAACTATTATTTCCAATTCTCAGCCGGTATATCTGTACCTATTATTTTTTTTCGAAGCTTAAATTTTAGATTTCAAATTTTATCTATATGTCCATTCCAGAGTGTGAAATGTGCAAAAAAGAAAAAAAAGCTACAAAATAAATTTCTTCATTCTATGGCTATAATAATGATCCAATCTGATCCAATCAAAAAAATGTTTTGAAAATGTTCGAAAGTCGGAAAAAGTATCTAAAGTATTTATTGTCGATATAGATTTTCAAAGTACACGGCGGGAGTAGAATGTAAATAGTAAGAATCTTAAATCTTAAGAGGCATCTTCAAGGCAAAAAGGCAATGTACATACTTGATGTCAAGCAATAAAATTGAGAGGCAAAATAATCGATAATCAGTAATCAGCTTTCGAATAGCAACATGGATCTGAGGACACTGAAGACTACCTTCCTTGATCTGGACATTTTCCGAGGACGAGGAAGGGACATCACCCCAAACCATAACCCAACCATAAAGATAAATCCACTGGCCAATGTGCCAAGACACAGACCCGACAGGCTGTTAGTCAAATGTTTTACGACGATTTGGATTCGAAACTATCAAATTTTAAATAGGAAGGGTGCTTGGACGCACCGTTTACAACTTTGCCAAGGGCGCAAATATTCCTTGGGACGACCTTGCTGCTCCACCAATCAAAGAATCCTGCAGTTGTTATTCCCAGACACATGCAAATTCTCAAAGATTACTGATGGCCTTTGAGTCATATTTTCAAACTGAACGGAATGTGCAAAGGTTATTGTTAAATGGGTTTCCACACATATACATATATTTACATATGTATGTACATAGTATATGATTTATAATACTCACATGTATAGACAAGCGACTGTCCTGGTTTCTTTCCTGCAGATATGGGTTTAATCAAAGTTATCGAAGCTTATTTCGTTGATTGTCCTCCTTCTTCGTTAATGTAAGAACCGCCAATCCCACTAAAAGCAATCTCCTGCGTGGATACATTTCGCATTCACTGTTTTATTAACCTTTTATTCAATTTTCACATATGTTCAAAAAGGTAAACAAAGCCAAACGGCTTCCTAAGAACTGAAAAGTGTAGCCGTACGGAAAGCGGTTTTCTCCTTTGGTCACACTCTGCCGCTAGAAAAATATATTGCACTGTTTGCTAGCAAACGTGTTTTTCGATCTGAGTACTAGGCTTTAAATTTAATTTGGAAACATTCCAATAAAAGGAAGTCTTGATTATCAGTAAATTTTGTGGAGAATTTTATAATGAGAATCCTGAGAATCCTAACTAGCTAGGAATATTAATTATAATAGCAAAATCGAGGAATACGACTTAAGATTGCTTAAATTGCTTAAATAAACTTGCATTCAACTGCTTAAAAAAAATTGTAAAGGATCTTTTATCATAATTAATAATTAATATAAATTTTTGTAAAATACATACGACGTACATATGTACATATGTATGTACATACAATTATGGGTTTAAATTCGTATGGGAAATGCGAAATTCCACTTTAGTCTAACGAGCTTTCGTGCACATTTGTAGAAGTCTAGCTCTTTAAAGTCTTTAAAGTTCGAATAATATTTCAGATCTTGATTTTGCGGTCAGATTTTTGATCATGAGGGACGAACTTAAAATTTATGCAATAGTGCATTGTCCGATATGCCTCTAAGAAGAATTAACCAACGAATGCCCCTTTTTTGTGTCTTTGCAGAAGAGGATAACTCTTCCGCCTCCACAAGAGCTACAATCATAAACACCCAGCTGCTCGTAAACAAAGATATGTATGTAAATACGTGTGTAAATGCGTGTGCATATGTAAGTGTATGAATTTAATGTATAGTAAATTATTAATCTTTCTAATATAATTATATATTCAGTATTTAGCGTTCTGGCTAGCTAGTAATAAAAACAGAAACTCAAAATCGAGGAATATAACTTCCGATCAACAGAAAATGTTCAACCTATTTGTTTATTCGTTATTTTCTAAAAAATCTAATAAACCAGAGACCAGTTCTGAAAGTTAACCAACTATATAGAAAACTGATTCAACAGTTGGATATAATTTTCATATTCATGGCTGAAGCCGGCTGGTCGGCAATCCGGGTGAGTGACGCATGTATTGATGTGTTGCCGCTTACACATCGATGACCCGTAGGGGTATATATGTACATATCAAAAATAGGTACGAAATGGGTCAATGCTGATCCTATGCGGACCTCCGAAACAAAAGCAAAACCTCTAGCAACAGATTCGCACTTATTCGTGTGAAGTCAAGACAAGTGCGGTTTCGAGCGATACAAAATAACAATGCATTCATTTGCATTTATTCTTGTGTCTTACACGTACACAGACTCTTGCATAAGCTGCCTGGGGTACACTTACCGCAGACTCAGCGGTGACGTTTCGCTTATATGACAAATCGGACCCATCTATGTACATATATTTTATATGGTTAATAATCTAGTGTTCATAAAATTAGTAATGCCAGCACAATTAAGAAATTTTGCGGTCAAGTTCTTTAGTCAGATATAATGGGCCTATTTATTATTATAGTCTTTAAAGTTTGAATAATATTTCAGATCTTGATTTTGCGGTCAGATTTTTTATCATGAGGGACGAACTTAAAAATAATCCTTGGTTGATCAATCAGCCAACAAAGGTAAAACTCCTGTTTAAAGAGGTAATATCGTAATTCGGAGAACGCAAGGAACTCGACGACGACGTAATCAAGACTCTAGACGCACGGCTCTGAGTTTTCACGGAGACATAACCGAAGACAAGCGACCCGCAAATTCGCTCAGACAGATAAGTTCAGGAAGTTGAGGAATCGCATGTCCAATAGCATCGGCACCGCGCTTTCGTTTCCAATTTCGAATGCACTTACATCATTATGAACCAGCTTTCTCTTTTTAGCAGGAGTTTTCGAAGTCCTAATGAGCTGTTCCATTTTCTCACCCATACGTCTAACATTGCCCCGATTAGCGCATTCGTCATCTTCCTCATCATCAATATATAAAAAATTGGATATTAATTTGATGCGGGTTGATATATTAGTCTTACCTTCATCTGTGGTTGTGACCTCATCCTGGTCGGTCTTGATGTTGTGCAATTGCAAACTGTTGGACATTTCCGGACGTGCCTTTGGACGAGACTCAACCACGCTGTCTGCCATATCATACAAGTCACAGATCACGGCCACTGCATCTTCTAGAGCTGTGAGTGTGTCCTGATACAGCGAGCCTTTGCCGCTGGCATTTGAATCCTCTAACCTGTTATTGGTAATCTTTTTACGAATGCAGCTTTTCCAGTCTTTCCATACCTATCAACATCCAAGTGTGATGACGGAATATAGGGCGATTGCTCGGCACTTACTCTCTTCCACTCACAAGCTTCTTTCACAGGCGGGCCCACGCTATTTAGTTCCTTTGAAAGGCGCTTCCATGCAGCCTCCGCAGCCAGTTTATCACCCTTGATGTAATTTTTGGCTATCATTGGGTGCCTCTCCATAAAGGCGATGAATATGGCATCTTGCTGTGCAGTTCTATGCTTGCCCATGGCTAAGCTGGGATCACTTCACGGGGCTATGACAGTGTGGTGCGGACTTCCAGCTTTCCCACTCAGCTGCACTCCTTTTACTTGGTGGCGGTGAAGTCGAAGACGTTGGGGGCCAACATCTTTATACAAAGTAGTACGTAAGTAAATTTATGTATTAAGGTTGTTCATCATTACTTACATTTTGCGTGGGTTTCTTATTAGTTTTCTTTTAGTTCCTTGAACGCCGTGGTCACGAATCTGTATTTTTAGGTATTGAAACAAATTGAAGTCACTTTTAACCCCATTTTAACTCGTTTTTCCACAAAATTAAAAAGTTAACAATTTTAGTTTTCTTTTTATATTAAAATAAGTGTGACCGCGGATTAATCAATAAAATATACTGCAAAACCCTCAAAAATATAATAAAATATACCTTAAATACCTTATTTTAATAATATATCATAAATATACTGCAATCTTAAATCGTATTCCTTGATTTTGCTATTATAATTAATATTACTAGCTAGTTAGGATTCTTTTGCTAGCAAACGTGTTTTTCGATCTGAGTACTAGGCTTTAAATTTAATTTGGAAACACTCCAATAAAAGGAAGTCTTGAATATCAGCAAATTTTGTGGAGAATTTAATAATGATTAGAGTAAAATTACAGTTTTAGCACTGAATCCTAACTAGCTAGTAATATTAATTATAATAGCAAAATCGAGCAATACGATTTAAGATTGCGGTATATTTATGGTATATTTTTAAAATAAGGTATATAAGGTATATTTTAATATATTTTTGAGGGTTTTGCAGTATATTTTATTGATTAATCCGCGGTCACACTGATTTTAATATAAAAAGAAAACTAAAATTGTTAACTTTTTAATTTTTTCATTAAAAAAAAAATCTGTGGGGAACATAACCTCTACGCCAGGTAAGTATTGGAGCAAAGCTGTAACAAGTTACATATTACGACGTGGCGATTTCCCCCTTGTAAAGGCGGGTGGCCAAATAATTCCCCTCTACCCAAGGGTAGTGCGGTAACTTAAAACCTCAAAAAAAAAACAAAAAAAAAACTTTTTAATTTTGTGGAAAAACGAGTTAAAATGGGGTTAAAAGTGACTTCAATTTGTTTCAATACCTAAAAATACAGATTCGTGACCACGGCGTACAAGCAACTAAAATAAAACTAATAAGAAACCTACGCAAAATGTAAGTAATGATGAAAAACTTTAATTCATAGTTTTACTTACGGACTACTTTGTATAAAGATGTTGGCCCCCAACGTCTTCGACTTCACCGCCACCAAGTAAAAGGAGTGCAGCTGAGTGGGCAAGCTGGTAGTCCGCACCACACTGTCATAGCCCCGTGAAGTGATCCCAGCTTAGCCATGGGCAAGCATAGAACTGCACAGCAAGATGCCATATTCATCGCCTTTATGGAGAGGCACCCAATGATAGCCAAAAATTACATCAAGGGTGATAAGCTGGCTGCGGAGGCTTCATGGAAGCGCCTTTCAAAGGAACTAAATAGCGTGGGCCCGCCTGTGAAAGAAGCTTGTGAGTAGAAGAGAGTAGGTGCCGAGCAATCGCCCTATATTCCGTCATCACACTTGGATGTTGATAGGTATGGAAAGACTGGAAAAGCTGCATTCGTAAAAAGATGACCAATAACAGGTTAGAGGATTCAAATGCCAGCGGCAAAGGCTCGCTGTATCAGGACACACTCACAGCTCTAGAGGATGCAGTGGCCGTGATCTGTGACTTGTATGATATGGCAGACAGCGTGGTTGAGTCTCGTCCAAAGGCACGTCCGGAAATGTCCAACAGTTTGCAATTGCACAACATCAAGACCGACCAGGATGAGGTCACAACCACAGATGAAGGTAAGACTAATGTATCAACCCGCATCAAATTAATATCCAATTTTTTATATATAGATGATGAGGAAGATGATGAATGAGCTAATCGGGGCAATGTTAGACGTATGGGAGAGAAAATGGAACAGCTCATTAGGACTTCGAAAACTCCTGCTAAAAAGAGAAAGCTGGTTCATAATTATGTAAATGCATTCGAAATTGGAAACGAAAGCGCGGTGCCGATGCTATTGGACATGCGATTCCTCAACTTCCTGAACTTATCTGTCTGAGCGAATTTGCGGGTCGCTTGTCTTCGGTTATGTCTCCGTGAAAACTCAGAGCCGTGCGTCTAGAGTCTTGATTACGTCGTCGTCGAGTTCCTTGCGTTCTCCGAATTACGATATTACCTCTTTAAACAGGAGTTTTACCTTTGTTGGCTGATTGATCAACCAAGGTTGATTTTGAGTTTCTGTTTTTATTACTAGCTAGCCAGAACTCTAAATACTGAATATATAATTTTATCAGAAAGATTAATAATTTACTATACATCAAATTCATACACACGTATTTACATACATATCTTTGTTTACGAGCAGCTGGGTGTTTATGATTGTAGCTCTTGTGGAGGCGGAAGAGTTATCCTCTTCTGCAAAGACAAAAAAGGGGCAATCGTTGGTTAATTCTTCTTAGAGGCATATCGGACAATGCACTATTGGTAAAAATTGTTCCCATTAATCCTAAAAATAAATTTTAAGTTCGTCCCTCATGATCAAAAATCTGACCGCAAAATCAAGATCTGAAATATTATTCGAACTTTAAAGACTTTAAAGAGCTAGACTTCTACAAATGTGCACGAAAGCTCGTTAGACTAAAGTGGAATTTCGCATTTCCCATACGAATTGAAACCCATAATTGTATGTACATATATATGTACACATGTACGTCGTATTTATTTTACAAAAATGTATATTAATTATGATAAAAGATCCTTTTACAAATTTTTTAAACATTTGAATGCATGTTTATTTAAATGCATTTCGCTAAGCAATAAATTGGATTTTGAAATTTCAATAGTTTCGTCTTCAGTTAGAAAGTTTTCTTCAATATTTTCCAAAGAACAACATTATATTGCGTCTTGTTTGTGCTCAAGACCACCAGCAGCGCTGCATGCATACATACATATGTAAGTGAACTCATTAGCATCTGCACAAATTTTTTGAAAATGGGCATATAACACCAATTGATTCTATATTAATTGTTTAATAATATTGAACCGGAACCTTCGTGAAGTGGTGTGCTGTACAAAAGTTATATTGCACTGAACACACGTACAATATGTACATATGTACATTTGTTAGTACAGTATACAAATTGGATATCTCAATAACAACAAATATGTAACATGTAATGTAATCGACATGTAATGTCATCGAAAAACATGTATTAACAATAACCTATATACCATGACCTGTTAATTCTATATTTGGATTTTTATTATACCCGGTACTCGGATATAGTGTATATTGGGTATATTGTATTTGTGCACAAAGTGGATGTATGTAACTCACAGAAGGAAACGTTTCCTACCCCACAAAGGATATATATTCTTGATCAGCATCAATACCCGGGTCGATATAGGCATGTCTGTCTGTCCGTCCGTCTTGTTGAGCGCCTGGATCTCAGAGGCTAACAACTAGAGCCACCCAATTTTTCATCCAAATGGCTGTATGCTCACATTGTTACAAGTGTATTTCAAGATTTCGCCCGGCCCTGTTCCTCGAAAAATCTGCGGTATTGATAATTTTGAAGATACGAGAAAACTAATTACGCCATTCCGTAGGGTTATGACCATATCTATCAGATGACCGAATTGGGATCAGATTGAATCATTATTATAGCCAGTCTCACACGTCCCTTCTCGATAAATATTTCGTATCAAGCTAACATTCAACCTTCAAGTTGTTGAATGTATCCTTCACTTTCTTACAATGCGAAACGCCTATGTATCAGCAGACTGTGAACGCGAGCTAAAAAAAAAATAATAGTATAAGGGTCTATTATGATATTCAGGAATCAGAAAATTAAAGTCGTATTCATATATTTAGTTCGCTTATTGAACATCCTCCCCAGCAGACGCTTCCAGCGATTTGATGCTCTCGATGCTAACAGATCCCCCAGTTGGATCGTTGTAAATCAGTCGTAAATCAGAAAGCTTTAAGGCTTTAAAAAATGTTAGAACTATCAGGAAGGAGTGCAAAAACATTCTTAACCAAATTCTATTCTCTGTGGAAATGGGAAAACACGACTGCACGTGCTTCATTGCTGCTCATTCACAACAAACAAATATGGCCGCCAAAACACAGGCATACAACAACACGCATGTGCTCCACTTTTACACTTTCGCTCTCTTTCGCCCCCACGTGTCGCCCAATTTAACCCTTTTAATGCCATCTCCGTCTGCTTCAGTGTCTGGCGGCCATTGACTTGCGCTCTTTCGTACATTCCTAACCCCTTAAATATAGCAATACTCTCTTTACTTTCTGACATAACGCTGCCATTCTCTTTGCCGCGCTCTCTTCGCTTAAAAAAAGGGGAAGCTACAAAATTGTTCCCCTTTACTATACTGCTTGTACACTAATGCGACTGTATTGATGTTCGTGTATTAAAGCGGCGAATGAACAAACGCAAACACTTCTCTTCCATTGCCATTCTCCGTTTTATTTTCTTTTATATTTTCTATTGAAATCGAAAGGATTTTGTAACATTGAAAGGGGTGAAAAGGAGAATTTTCTGAAGCTGCTTATTTTTTATTGATTTGTGGCGTGAATTCTTTAACAGTGTAGGTGCGGCGAATACACCACACACACAGGCACAAGTTTACACTCACACTGTTCTTTCATTGCTATTCGCTGTTCCCTTTAACTCTTTATTTAGTGGTCGGGAATTTATTTTATTTTGACAGTGACTCTCACATGCACGTGAAAGCCTGCGTTTGTGTGGGTCTGTAGGCGGAGTTTGATCGATATTGTTTATGACATGGCGTCAACTCTTTAAGCTCTGCGAGAGCGCTATTGAAAAAATAGAAATCAGAACACCGGTAATATAGAAAAGAGAAATATATTTTTCTCGCATCTGTTTTATCTATGTACATACATATATATGTATGTAGTTCATGTCATAGAATGCTTGTACAATATAATATGGTAAAGAAACATTTTGATGAATTACGTCCATTTTTAGTAGATCTTAGTTTTCTAAGTAAAAATGTATGTACACATATGAACTTAGTTCTTATATATTTATTAAGAGGAAATGCTTTTCTCGGATACATCATCTTCAATTCTGTAATGTCAAGCGAGAAAATGCTAAATGAAAATTTAAGAGCTTATTTCCAAGATTCTTATTATGGCAATGGTGACGCAGGGCCGAGAAGGTTTTACCCAACACAACCCTTAAATTAAATGGGGATATAAGATATAGGGGGCAACTTCA